AGAGATAACGTCATGTTGTCTATTAAAAAAATAACTTTTTACATGTAAAGTCTCAAGTATTATCTTTGATTTTATGGAAAGAAATCTCGAGAGTTCGAATGTTAATCCTCCTTTTCTAAGAAAAAGCATTACTAGTGGGGAGACTTTAAAATTCAATTACTGTCCTTAAGTGGAATTTTCCCTTGTGCCCTCGAAAGTCAAGAACTCTCTCCAAAGATGCGAATAGTAATTTGTGATGTCAATCAACCACAAATAGAAGGCAAGTCAAGTTTCTGCTCTTAAATGGTATATTGTTTGCCGTGTTTGTGCAGGAAGAAGGTGTGAGCATTACAGTCAACTCTGTCCACCCAGGATTGATCATGACACCTCTCATGAGACATAATCCTCTTTTGATGAGTATGTTAATGTTACACGCTATCCAATTCCTACCTAATACAAGAGCGATTATCTTGCGTGTTCGACACACTGAGTGACATAGACCGCAGTGTATCGAATTAATCTACTTAAGTTATAAGACGTGTTACTGTTTTACTTACATAATTTGATCGTCTTTCTTTTGCAGAGGCTTTTAAGATGTTCACCTTCTGCATGTGGAAGAATGTACCTCAGGTGATTAATTAATTTAATCTCTTTGTTTTAACAGAGGGATTAAACTGTTACTACTTGGCTTGTTATGTTATTGTTTTTTTTTTCAGGGAGCGGCCACAACATCATATGTAGCTCTGCACCCGAAGCTGAAAGGTGTGACCGGAAAATACTATGCCGACTGCAATGAGACGGAACCCAGCAAAGATGCCGGTGATGAAAACTTGGCCAAAAAGCTTTGGGACTTCAGCAACAAGTTGATTGATGGAGCTTCCGAAATCTGAATCTTGGAAGTATCTTTATGTGAAGTCTGTGATAACATTAGTCTATATAGTTAAAGGTCGGAGAAACTTACATACGACCGGAATACTAAGATCTAGGTCATCGCATGATTAGTTTGGATTGATTTTGAAATATCGCTTTGTCATCGTTGTTGTATGAATGTTATTTCCCGTAAGGCATAAGTCGTTTGTTGGATAATAGGTGCCATTGTATGATTCATAGTGATTGGAGACTCCTTGTCTCTTTATTTAAAATAAGTTGACTACTCATCCTTAGCTCAAAGCACCTTTATTTTCCTTTTCACCAAATTGGAACCTTTGTGAAAATTTGGGACCAAATCTCCAGGGCCGGCCCTAAGAATTTGGGCCCTAGGCGAGCTTTCGAAGTAGGATCCTAAAGTTCTCTAACTCCAGATCTTTTGTACATTGACATGTGTAAAAAAAATCACTAAATACATAAAAAGTCTATCTCTAATCAAATATCATTAAAAATTAATATAAATATATATATATATATATACACAAACTGTTACACCCACCCCCACATTTTAGTTATGTTTCTATTTTTCCCCTGGAACATATTTAAACCTATCAATTTAATCCTTTACCTCATTTAATCCTAGCCGTTGATCTAGATTCCTTATTTCTCCTAAACTGCCACATGATAGGTTCTTAGCTATTTTCTCTTCCCTCTCTTCCCGAGTATTCCCTCTCAAATCTCTCTTTCTCTCACGAGAACTCTCACTCTCTCTAGAGCTCCGAGAGCTCTTGTCTCATTCCCCTTCGAAAACTAATCAAATCCAACAGTTTAACCACATAGCTAGAACTCTTGGGGCTTGAGGAACTAAGTTGTAATCCTGCATGCATCATTAGAACACCTCTGTGTGTTCTGCCATTGAAGTCGAGAGCTTCAAATCTCTGAAACTCGAACTCAGGCGAGGCTCACTACTATGTTTTGTTTTGTTGAGTTGTTCTCAGTCCAAATGAAGGTTCTAATCTGTGCATGCACTATATTTTTGTTTTCCAAAACCCGACGAGTTCCATGATCAACCCAGCCATTCTCGACCACAGTCGAGACTCACAATGGTATATTTCCGTTCCCATCACTTCAGCTATCTTCCTTCTTCATTTTAGTACTTGGTTTGGGTATTGGTTTACGCGTTCGCCATCAACCGAAGTTTAGCAGCTCCGGTGTTCTTCCCCGACAACACACAAGCCATCAGGCCATTTCAGGCCACCCACGTGCCTTAGCCCATTTTTGGACCAGCCTAGTTTCTTATTTCTTTTGGTTGGTTATTTGGCCTGCGAGCCATGCCCTGCATGGCTATGTGAGTGTGTGGTGTGTGTGTGTCCGTGTGAGTGTGTGGTGTGTGTGTATCCATGTGAGTGTGTGAGTGTGTGTGGTGCACGTGTGTGAGTGTGTGTGTGTGTGTTGTGCCGTGTGTGTGTGTGTGTTGTACACGTGTATGGTGTGTTCCATGTGTGTTGTGCATGTGTACATGTGTGTTGTGCATACATGTGTGTGTGCTAGAGTGTGTGTATTTGTATTGTGTGTGGGTTTGGGCTCAAGCCCAAACCACCCTTTTTGTTCCTAAACATGTCCAAAACCAAGACCCAATAGGTCCTAACCTTACTTAACTTAAACCTAAACCCTAACCCAGATCCAAACCCAAGACCCAATTCCATTTCTTGAAATTCGATAGTTGGGTAGTTTGATAAATTGTACATTTTTGTGCTTAGATGAAGTTGCTAGTGGGGATTTCCTTAATCCTTTTCCGCACAATTCTGCTGCTACAGAGTATCTTTGAGTGGACCCTTTCTAAAATTTGCATAATTTCATAGTTTAATTGCATAAATTAAATGCATGCCTTATGAGTTTATGAACTGATTTTATGTTAAACATGTTTATGGAATATGTTGTTTATCGTCTCGTTTTGGTGAGGAATTAATTGTTGGCCTATATTGAGCTATATTTTTAATATATCGTATTTTCTATAAAAACCATGAACTGGTAGACTATTTGATGGATGACGATAGGATGCTAGAACATGTTTCAGAAACCCCTCTTTATAGTATAGACGATGGATGACTTTATACTATGAAGTGGTTATTTATGAGAGGCATAACTGTTTGTGCGTACCTAGTGGACACTATGCTGCCTGGGGCGAGGATCTGGTGTTGGCAAATAGGCCGGGAGAAATAATCCCTAGCTACAGGCTGAGGGACACGGAGCAGGCATTGGGCCGGAAGTTGGTAATCTCTGGCTACGGGCGCAGAGACCAAGGTGATGGCATAGGGCCGGGAGTTAAATTTATTTAGTGATCTTACTAGCAGTACATCACGCTACGAGACGATCTATAAGACGTTTGATATTTTGTGTTCCATGATATGTCTTTTGAGATATTTTTGGCATGCTAGGGTTTTCAGTAAATCTATCACTTATTATGGTAGTAGTTTTTTTTTTATATAAACGGTGGGGGTTAGTATCTTGATAACTATTTTATTATTATTGTATATATAAACTTGGTCCACTCACCTTTGTTTTGTGCCCCCATTCAGATATTAGAAACGAGGACTACGACACGACGTTCGAGGCATTCCCATACCAGTAACCGTCTATCACTCACTTGTGTGATATCTTGTAATGATATTTCCTTTTGTGATCTTAAATTTGATCGTATTCTATGCACTCTAGACATTTTCTTAAACTTTTGTTTATTACCTTTAGATTCTAATGATCATTCATGCTTATTTCCTCATAATCATTACTCTTGTATTCAATAAATGGCTTTCGTCACCCTCAGGTGTCGGCCAGCACGTGCCTATCCGGGTATTCGGGGAATATTGGGGTCAGGACGTGTCACAAACATTACTCAAATATTACATGTCTTGCGTTTTTAGATGCAAATGCACTTATTAAGTTTACATAATCTAATTTTTCAACCAATTCAAACCGAAAGAGAAGTCTCTACCCAGTACGCCAAATGCCAATCATTTTTGTATTGTTACAATGTTACTTATTACATTCAATAAATGAATGAATGGTTGGATTACAGAGACAACATCTTACAGCTAGGGAAAATACTAGAGTGAAGATGATAGTAATTTTCGTATACGCGCCTAGGTGGAGAGGCGGATTTGAATAATTTATTATATATTATATAAACTAATTAATTTGAACATTAAATAATGTCATTTTTCAAAAAGGTGAGAGTTTTAGCCTTTGAGGTACATAATAAAGATACATGTGGTGTGATATTAAAATGGGAACTTTAACGAAAAGCTCCCGGTACTGTTCACTTTAACGAAAAACCACATTTTTACACTAAAAAGTCAATCCTAGTACTATTCACTTTACCCTTTATTTTGTCCTTATCATTAAAACTCAAAGTTTTCAAGTCATTTTCATTAGTTTTCCTTATTAAAATAGGGTAATAAAACTCCATAAAAATAAACATAAAGGTGATATTTAAGAGAGAAGCAAAAAAGTAAAAATAAGATGGTGGAGACTATTTAAAAGGGAGAAGACATGCAGCTATAAAAAAGATGGTGAGACCATCTTAAGTACATCGTGCAATTAAAATGATGTTGGGAATATGATTGTCTTCTTCCTCGCGCAAGGCCAACATGCAACAAAAGATTTTCAGATTTCGGCGTTTACATATAAGCCCGCATAGCTCTCTCCTCCCCCCCCCTCTAATCCCTGTCCAGACCTGACTAGCTCCGCCTAAAATTGGGGGCCCTAGGCAGGCGCCTACTCCGACTACCCTCAGGGCCGGCTTTGCAAATCTCATAAAATGGCTTTCTATTCCTAAAATAAAATCAAAAGTAGCAAGTATAAAAGTATAATAATGACACACATCCTATTTTTTTTATATGCACATGTAATCATGTTCGTTGTTTTCATTTGATTTATTTAATTTGACAACCAAAAATAAAGAAGTCTAAAAAGAATGAAAATCAGGTCAATTCTTTTAAACTTTATGATATTATTTATAATTTGGATGTGAGAGCTTTCTGACATTTAAAAAAAAAACAGAAGGTAAAGAACCACTAGATTAAAAACTTTGGTTCTTTCATGATTCGGTTTATCAATGAACCGAGTATATTTCACGTCTTGCCATATATGGAATATTTACTTGCAACGTGAATGTAAATTATTTTGATTTTTGACTTCTCATAGGTTTCCAAAGACCAGAGCATAAACAATGAATCAAACAATGTTATATTCTCATAATTTCATTCATGAACCTATTTATCCAACAAAAAAAAAAAAAAAAACAGTAAACACCTAAAATTGTAAGTCAAAGCCAAACTGCCCAACTCAATGGACCTCATCTGCCTCCCACAAACCTACAGCTCTAATCAGGTAAGCCGAGGCAGCCACCACGACCGCCGCGAAAACAGGAGGCACGATGAAATCGATGGCGGACTTGCTGAACAGGTGAGCCGGCAGGCATAGGATGTCTCCCGGCACGTCTGACGGAATCCTAATCGACCCTTCCGAGCCGCAGACTAGGGAGAACTTAGACGTCGACGAAATGGCGGACACGAAGGCAACCTCGGGAGAGAAAGAGGCCACAGCCACTGTCAGAGTGAGCAATGTGGTCCACGTGACGGCGTAGATAAGCACTGGCCAGCGCGGGGAGAGGCGCGTGACGGTGGAGGTGAGGAGGGAGCGGAGCATTGTGTTGATTGGGGTTTTTGGGGGAGAGGAGTAGTGAGGTTGGGAATTTATATGCATGTGTAGGGTCAGAGAGTGGACTCAAGAGTTAAAAGTGAGAGAGAGAGGTGAGAGGAGTAGTGAGGTTGGGAATTTATATGCATGTGTGGGGTCAGAGGGAAGAGGATCCTCTCTCCTGAGCTCAGGATGGGGATCCTCCTTACCGGACCATCCGGACCGTTTAAATTTAATCCAATGATTATAATTATTATAATTTTTAGAAGGATCTTCTGTTCGAAACCGTTGGATTAAATTTGAACGGTCCGGATGACTCGATTAGAAGGATCTCCATCCTGAGCTCAAGAGAGGATCCTCTTCCGGGTCAGAGAGTGGACTCGAGAGTTAAAAGTGAGAGAGAGAGAGAGAGAGAGAGAGAGAGGAGTTGAACGACTGTGAACGTTGGAGTTTAGGTGGGAGAACGATGGGAAGTGACAACAATTCGTTGACTGCTATCATATTTGTTTTGGTGGGTATTTTCTATTTTGCTTCATATTAATTTTTTAATATTCTTTTTTGAAGAAACCACATTCATTCATCAATGAATACGTTTTATAAGTCGTAGATTATCATAGTGGTTATAATACCTATCGTCAATTCATTGCGCTTTGGGTTCAAAGTTCAAACTTTCATTCTTCTCTTAATGTAGATTAATATAGAATATCGATTATTCTGGAAAAAAAAAAAGATAACTAAATCTAAACTCAATGCTATTGAATATAAGTCTCACATCGAGAAATTAAGAAAATAATATTTAATATATAAATATATGGTTCTACTCCTAATAACACTAAAATCTTTTATGATAAAACCTAGAATTTAATAATAGATGATTAAATTAAAACGGTATTAATGTGATTAGGACCGGACTAGTGGCCATATCTGACAAATGCGTGTGCCAGATCAATTGCAATTAAAACAAAGTATAACAACAAAAGCAATTGCAACAATTAATGAATGAATGACAGCATTGACAATTTTTTGTTACAAGCAACGATAGATAGATTTCACACAAACCAAACTTACAAGAGGTGCCAAATGGGTATATAGTTTTCATTGACCAATATCTTGATCTAAAGAGAAATTCGCATAGTCAACAAATGAGATAAAATCTCTACATATGGCTATAACACACAACAATTAGGTGCAAACGGTATAATTAAATAGATGATAAATGCAACAAATCATGTACTGAATGCACACATAATAAAACAAGAGGTCACATCGCACCGCTACTAGAATTGCGAGGCCACAAAACGACACAACAAAAAACATTAAACAAAACTAACTAATCCGAGAAGAGAACCACCAATCAACTCGACTCCACAAAGCCGACAACACCGCGTCTAGAGATATCCATAACATCCACTAGATGAGTCGTCATAGATCTGGTCATGTAAGTCGACTCAGCTACAGGTCAGTTAAGGAGCCAACTTGTAGAAATTTTTTCTATAATTTCATTGCTTATCTTTTCTTCTCTAATTTTATTAAGCCAATTTGTAGACATTTTTTTTTCACTTAGTAACTTACTAAATATTATTTAAAAATTCATGATAGGATAATTTTTCTATAATTTCATTGCTTTTCTTTTCTACTCTTTTTTTTTTTTTTGTCAAACCTTTTCTTCTCAAATTTCATTAAGCCAACTTGTAGACATTTTTTCATAATAATAACTTATTATATATATTATTAAAAAATTTAACTAATTAATTGAAGTACTTAAATATGATAAATGTAAGTTCTTGTAAGCATCTTGATGTTTTCCTTAACACAAAACTTAGCCATCGTGCCCGGAGACTTCAACGAAGATATCTTTCTTCTCCGGCAAGACATCATCCGGTTTGATCTCTTCCTCTCTGGTCTTCTCTAGATCCTATTTTTAGCCAGTTTTTCAGCCTCGCTCAGACTCTATTCGTGCACTTCTTTCAATCTTTCCAACTTCAATTGCAGATACATACTCAATCGAGTTGGGACTTGGGAGCAAGAGAATTGAACTATTTGGAGAGTCGAGAGGGGAGGAGTTAGGAAAGTCGTGAATTCTAGATTGAGATCAGAGACAAAGAGAGAATGAGACAAGGTCTGTTTCCTCAGCCATTTGGACAGTGGATTCGATCTGGATTAAGGGCCTTTTTCTCTATTTGGACCCGTCTTGCCCCGCCATGTTTTGAATTTAGAAAATTTGGACCCTCCCCGTACCCATCGGGAACTGCTTTAACTCGCCCAACCAGTGGTCTAGTTGCCCGTTTGCCCACCCTTAAAGTGAACACCACAACCAAAACCTAATCCTAAATCATAAAAAACACAAACAAACCAAATAAGAAAGGAAAACTAATTAAGGGCTGGTTTGTTGTTGAAATTTTTTTTAAAGCAACTTTATAAAAAAGTTTGAGCTAAAATTGTGTTTGGTAAATAAAAAAAGTTGGAGCTAAAATTTGTTTTTTCAAAATAATGGGTCCAAAACAGCATAAAGCAGAAGCAGCTCTACCCCTACTTCTCAAAACAACACTTTTTTCACAGCACAGTAGCCGCAAACTAGCCCTACGAACTTATTTAGAAGTGCTTTTAAAATGACAGAAAACGTTTTGGTGGAATTGATTTTAAGTTCCAAAAACACGTTAAGTGCTTTTTGCTAAAATGTTTTTGGGACAAGCACCAGAAAAAACACTTAAAGTGTCTTTTGAACTCAAAATCAATTCCACCAAAAAGCACTTATCTAGTGCTTCTTTCAAAAAGCACTTAAAGTGGTTTTTCAGGTTCCATTTGGATTTTTACTAAAAATTAATTTAAAAAATATTTTTACCAAAAACGCTTTCAATCATTTTAAAAGTACTTCCAAACGAGCTCTAAATCCTACTTATTTCAGGAAAAACAAATTCTACATCAAGTTTGTTGTCCTATGTCAAAATAATATTTTATGCTATTAGACTGCGAATTGACATAATGTCATAATTCAAAAATAAAAATACAAATGTACCCAATTGAGCTCTTCGGATTCGAATTCTTAATGATCTTTGAACTTTGAGCACCAACCTTATATTTCTCTTAAAGTAGACTAACCTTCATGCATGCGCTTACGAGCATACAAAAGACATTTTTGAATCACGACGTACTACGCGCGACTACATATTTTTTGAATCACATTATTGTTAACCCATTATGATGCTAAGCCCACCCCTTCCCCCTTAGACCATCTCCAACCCATGAGTTAAAACCTAAAATTTGTAACCCAGTAAATTTAAGTTTTAATCCAAAAACAGTTTTCTCCTCCAACCCTTCTAGGTTAAATTTTTAGCCTAAGAGTATTAAAGAATGAATTTAGGATAATTTTTTTTTCTTAAAGTAACTTTAAAAAAAAAATTATGTAGACTATCTTAATTTAATTTTACAAACATTTTAAATTTAAAATATTTAGATTCCAATAAATATTTAAAAATATCTAAACTGACGTCATGAAACTCGTGAAACATTATGTAAGAATATGAAATACATAAAATAAATTTTTTTTAATTACTATAGCCGTTGGGTTTAAATTTGGATTTTTAGATCTTTTTTTACCTTTGGATTTGATCATATTAAATCTTAGCAGTTGAAATCAATGAATTTGTAAATATAAAACTAAAAAAAGTACATGTATATGGTGAGCCAACTTCACTAACCCAAAAAGAATCCTAGGCTAAATTTGTCCCAAAAATAAGTTTTGGATTAAAACCCATATTTGCCCAAGGGTTGGAGCAAGTTGGGGTAAGTTTAGAACCTAAAATTTGAGTTTTACTTCAAGGGTTGGAGTAGATCTTAGTGTATATAATCTCGTTTGTTCAAAAAAAAAATCATTTGGTGCGAAATACCTTTTTTTATAACTATCACTACGTCTCTTAAGATGTTTTGAACGTGTTTAAAAATAAAGAAAATAATATTTAATAACACAACTGATCGAATCACATTATTGATAACCTATTGTGAGGTATTAATTATAAAAAATAAAATAAAATAAAAAACTGTACAAAAAAATTAATTATAAAAAAACATTGTTTATATGACAAAAATACTCCTGCATTATTTTGAACTGCTTTGGAACATTTTTGTTTGGGGGACATTTTGTCCCATTCTGTTTTGGTGAAGCCCGTGACCCTAAGGGGGTGTTTGTTTGACCTCCTTAGCTTTCACTGGACTGGACTAGATTAAAAATTAGTCTAGTTTGATGTTTGTTGCTCTGCAGGATTAACATTAATGGGATAAAAGATGACTCGCCTCGACTAAGGACCGCGCTAGGCGGTCTTAGCGAGCCCCCCCCGCATACCATGGGACTGGCTAAGAACTAGCTTTGTCCTCCTCACTTCGCTCCTTGCTCCATCATTTCTCGCGTCCTTTCCCTTCCTCCTCACCTTGAACCCAGAATCACAAACTAACAAGACCTCAAATTTGAATCTCAAGCGGAGAATCCATGAGCTGCGTCATCTGATTCACCTCGAACCCAGATTAGACAAGGTCGTCGATCACACATCCATCCTCCTGGACCTTGATTTTCAACGGCACGGCTCTTCTCTGTGAGAGCATCTCAACCATGCGGCCATGCCCATCTCAGCAGAAGCTCAATCAGGTCAGAATTTTTTTCATCTTTCTTGTGATTTTCAGAAAAGGCACATATTGCATGGGTGATTTGAGTTTTGCGTGAATGGGTTTTGTTTAAAATGTTTTTTTGTTGTCATTTGGAGCAGGTGATGAGAAAAAGGCTAGATTTGTGTATCACTATCAGAGAGAGGGGATTATCCTCCCAGAGACCTCCCACTCCTGTTTTTCGGAGGAAGACGGTAGTACTGAGAAAAAGAGGGAGAAAAGGCAAAAAAAAGGGAGAAGGGAGGGAGTCAATGGGCGGAGATAAAAATGAATCAGGAAGAAGATGATTCTAGCCAAATGATAAAATATTAATAAAAAAATTAGTACATTAGATTAAATTAATGATAAAATATTGTATATATAGATTTAATAAGGGTAAATTACACTTTCATACCTCAGGTTTGGGATTCATTTCAACCTTATACAACAACTTTAAAACTTTCATA